AGAAGTGAAAAATCTTTTAAAAAGGAATAGAAGGTATGATAAAGAAATTTCCTAAAGCCCCAAATTTTCTCAAACAGCAAAAAAGAATATAAAAAATAAAAAATAAGAAAAGCAGAGGACTGGAATAGAAGATCCAACATATGAATAAAATTCCTCTGTATACTTCATACTTCTCAAGAATATCAGAGACTAGGAGCTGTGGTTGTGGCTCAGTGGTAGCGCACTTGCCTAGCTGTGTGAGGCACTGCATATAAATAAATGAACAAAATAAAGTCCATCAATGTCTAAAAAAAAATTAAATTAAAAAAAAGAATATCGGAGGCTAGAAAGTACTGAAAATTCAGGCAGGAAATAATTTCTGACTTACACTAAAACTATGGTTCTGGTTTGAGGATAAACTGAAACCATCTGCACAGATGCATGACCTTGAATACTTTACCTCACACTAACCCTCCTCAGGAAGCTGCAGCTACTACAGGGGATGCTGTCCCAAAATAAGACAGTGAACTAAGAAAGAGGGAGACACGGGATCTGAGAACAGAGAATCTAAACAGAAGAGAAATGAAGAACACTAAAAGAAGAACAGAGATTGTGGGGAGACTGCTGTGCAGTGTGTGTGGAGACAAGTGCAGAGACTACGAAGGCAGTTTGTTAGGACACTGAAACTCATCTGGACAACCTGAAAGCAATCCAGGCCAGCGAGGAGACTGGGGTTGAATTATTGATAAGTGCAAAAAACATTAAGACCGACATTTATTTGTTTCAGGAAAAGGAAAAAGTTTCTAGAAAAGGAACTGTAATCATAGTTTATGATGTTGCTTAGCTGTTCGAAGCAATTTACAGTCGTTATAATATAAACAACAAATATTAGCTAGTTGAGATTATATATATACAATTATCTATTAAAATTATCAAGTGGATAAAAGGACACAAAGGGTAGAAATGTTTTGGGAACAGAAAGGACAAAGAATTCCATTTCTTTCATAGTAGGAAACTACTACATAACACCTAAAACTGAAGAATCAAGAGCTATCAATATTAGTGAAATACTTAGAAAAATGGTAGGTAAAGACCAAAATGTTGGGGCTGAAGTTTTAGCTCAGTGGTAGAGCACTTGACTAGCACTATGAGGCACCAGGTTTGATCCTAGGAACCACATAAAAATAAATAAAATAAAGGTACTGTACCCATCTACAACTAAAAAATTAAAAAAAAAAAAAAAAGACCAAGATGTTAATGGTGTCCTCTGCAAAGAAACAAATAGGGCAGGGCAAAAGAGTAGGTGACTCCTGTTTTTAGCAACAAACCTGAAGGAAATTTCCACCTTAGTTCTTACTGTGACAGCACAATGAAATTGGCCTTAGCTGGGTATGGTGGCTACTCAGGGGCTGAGGCAGAAAGACTGCTTAAGCACAGGAGTTCAAGGCCAGCCTGGGCAACACAGAGAGACTCTTTCCCACCCCCAACCTCCTGAAAATGCTGATAGCTGAGGCCCATCCCAGGTGAATTGAATCTGAATCACAAGATCTGTGGCTTAGGTACAAGTGGGTTTGAAAAGGGCTCTAAATGTTTCTGATGCTTAGAAAGAATTGAGAACTACAGCTTTAAACAATATACACGAGTTACTTTCATAAAAATAAAAAGTAGGGCTGGGGTTTAGCTCAATGGTACAGCACTTGCCTAGCATGGGTGAGGTACTTGGTTCAATCCTCAGCACCACATAAAAATAAATATACTGTGTCCATCTACAACTAAAAAATAATATTAGAAAATAAAAATAAAAGTGAAATAAAAAGTAATATTTAAATGAAGAAATAAGCCTAAAATGTTTGTGTTTAAATGAAGTAACCTTTAGCAAACACATACATGTCCATAAATATCCATATGTAGGGCTGGGGATGTGGCTCAAGCGGTAGCGTGCTCGCCTGGCATGTGTGCGGCCTAGGGTTCAATCCTCAACACCACATACMAACAAAGATGTTTGTCTGCCGAGAACTAAAAAATAAATACTAAAAAAATTCTCTCTCTCTCTTGGGCTGGAGAATGTGGCTCAAGCGGTAATGCGCTAGCCTGGCATGCACGGGGCGCTGGGTTCGATCATCAGCACCACATAAAATAAAATAAAGATGTTGTGTCCACAGAAAACTGAAAAATAAATATTAAAAAATATTCTCTCTCTCCCTCCTCTCTCCTCCTCTCTCTTTAAAAAAAAATTCTCTCTCTCTTTAAAAAAAAATCCATACACACACACACACACACACACACATACATACAAAACATATAAAACAAAGTTGGTGTTCAAAAAACAATTCATCAAGGACCCAGTTCTCCTTTTTCATTAGTAACTTCTAAAGTTGTCATTTTTAAGATTTCTTTATACAATTTTTGTGGGAAAAGTAAATATCAGATACCTTCGGGTGTTCCCCAGGGGACTGCAGATGTGAATGGCATGCTTTAGAGACACTAATGGTTAAAAAGATCAAATTGGACTGATTTGCCTACTGCATGTGCACTCCCCACTTGGGCTCTGAAGATCAGTTGGCTCTGGCTGATTTAACTCTTTAGAGGAATGACATTGCATGGGCCATCACAAACACCAAAACACAAAAAAGTCCTTTATATTATTCTACAGTTGCCCTAGGCAACAGAATTTTGAAATCTAGAATGAAATAATGGTGCATAATTAAATAAAAATATTTCTAATTATGCACAATGATATTTTTAAAAATCAGCAATCGACCTTCATTTTACATTCAAGCAATGCTCTGAAAACAGCAGGCACATACAAGAAATGGCATTCATGAAATTATAAAAGGTGGCATTCAGTAATGTCCAATCAAATGCAGAGAAGTCAAAAGTTACTAAAATATTCTAGATCATGTTAAACAACACACTTGACCTGGCCCAAGGGCAACACATTCTATCATATCACCAAACTATAACAACTCATTCCTTTTAATTGAAAAGACAGGATGCTGTCTGTGAATTCTGTGAAGACACATGTGGCCTAGATACTTCTGATTTTGTAAGTATAAATGAGGCAACCAATACACCTTTTCCTTCAGCAGCCTCCTACCCTCTCCCACCTCTTACAATACACACAGAGTTTAACAAAGTATGTAAATAACTATCCTAAAAATCAATGGTTATAATATTAAATTTGACAAAATGGGTACCAGGAAATACACTAAAAATTTTAAGGTGGGTTGAATGCTCATACTTCAGAGTTTACTTAAAAAAAAAAAAGAAATGAAATGAAACTAAAGGGGAATGAAGGGAAGGGAGGTAAAGTGGAAACAGAAAAGATAGTAGAATGAATCAGATACTACTATCTTATGTGCATATATGATTACATGACCAATGTAATTCTACATCATGTACAACCAGGAAATGACAACTTACGCTTCATATATGTATAATATGTCAAAATACATTCTACTACCATGTATAACTAATAGAATAAAAAATGTTATAAAATAGATGAATATACTTTGCCTGTTGTTACAAGAAAAAAAAAAAGAAACTAAACATGAAAACGAAATAGGAGGCTGGGGATGTGGCTCAAGCGGTAGCGCGCTCGCCTGGCATGCGTGCGGCCCGGGTTCGATCCTCAGCACCACATACCAACAAAGATGTTGTGTCCGCCGAGAACTAAAAATAAATATTAAAAATTCTCTCTCTCTCCTCTCTCACTCTCTCTTAAAAAAAAAAAAAAGAAAATGAAATAGAAAACATTTACATGGGGTCAACTCTCCTGCTGTAGACATTTCCACTGCTCTCCTGACATAAACCTACTAAGGTCTGCTTTTCCACCTAACTACACATATGAATACCCACAACAGAAACAGCACAAATGGCAGTCTGAGCACCCAGTGTGTGTGTGTGTGTGTGTGTGTGTGTGTGTGTGTGTGTGTGTATTTTAGTTGTTGATAGACCTTTATTTATTTATTTATATACAGTTCTGAGAATCGAACCCAGTGCCTCACATATGCTAGGCAAGAGCTCTACCACTGAGCCATACCCCTAGCCTATCCCACTATATTTAAGAGCATATTTTTCACTAATACAGCATTCCAGGGGCTGGGGCTGGGGCTAGGACTCAGTGGTAGAGCACTCGCCTAGCACATGCGAGGTGCTGGATTCCATCCTCAGCACCACATAAAAAAAAAAATAAATAAATAAAATGAAGGTATTGTGTCTAATTACAACTAAAAAAAAAACCAAAGTCCAGGGGCTGGGGATGTGGCTCAAGAGGGAGTGTGCTCGCCTGGCATGCGTGCAGCCTGGGTTCGATCCTCTGCATCACATACAAAGATGTTGTGTCTGCCAAAAAGTAAAAAATAAATATTAAAAAAAAAAATCCAACACGGTTCAAAGGACTCTAAAAATCGTGTTTTCAACTTTAAAGGTTTTCATTGCTGGCATTCTATTCATAAGGATCAGAAAAAACATCATTTCAATAGCAAAGTATTAAAAAAAGGATATTTAGGTTATATTACTTACTTCAGTATTCAGGGTCATCATTCTTTTCCCTTGTCAAAAYTTTATTAAAAAATTAAAGGGATGTAAAACAATATGTTGATGTTCAAAGAGTATCACTGTAGAACAACAGACCAAAATGTCAAAAACTACAGTGAATTGATGTGAAGAAGGGAAGATGTTTTAAAACTAGAAAATAAAATTGATCCACAGGTCTCTTCATGTACAAAGAAAATTATTCTGGGTTACATAACAAAAATAAACCTCTCATCAGAGATCTTGGAAATCTTGATTTTTTTTTTTCCTGGAGGAGGATTTATTTTTTTCCACTGAGTGTCCATTCATGCATATTCTTGTTTCTATTCATAGCACCAGATCCTGACTAGCATGCACAACCTCAAAAGAAAAGAAACACTAAATACAAACCGTGTAAAATTAAGTAAAATAAAGCAAAACAAAAGGCATGAGTTTGGAGTGGGTACACTGGGGCTGGTGCCATAAAGAGTTCCCGTGGAACTCACCTTGTAGGCGACACTGTTGGAAGAGTCCACGATGATAAACAGGGGCTTCCTTGTGAACGGGTAGAGATCTCCAGGATGAAGGCTGGGGAAACAACAAAGGTGAGGGGTTGTGCAATTATGTCAGCCAAATCTCAAAAAATAAAATAAAAAGGAAACGGCTTATAGCTCTTTTACATGATAGCACTGAGAGAAAAACAAAGGTCAATCAAGCGAAAGACAAAAAATGTCTGTTATTCCCAGGACAGGCAAGTTGGTTTTATTCGGGGGGAAAAAAAGTTCAGAAACAATTACTTGAGAAATCTAAGGAGAAGTTTACATGCTTAAAAATGAGTAAGCACACAGTATGAAATCCTTAAAACTCAACATATAGGTACTTGCTTCACAGATGTCAATGTTTCCTCTAAGAACATATTTCGAAAATAAGACAATAACACAATCAGAGTTGTATTTAGTGAGTCTTCAAAATCAATATCTAGGTTTTTGTGCATGTYTGTGAATATGTGTGGGGGTGGTACTGGCGACTAAACCTAGGGCCTCACACATGCCTTGTCACTGAGCCTTGTCCCAAGTCCTTTTAATTTTATTTCACTTTGAGCCAGGGTTCCCCAATCCCTCAACCCTGGCAATCACATTCCTATTCTCTGTTTCTGAGTTTGACTTTCAAACACTACAAAGAAGTGAAATCATGTGGTGTTTGTCTTTCTGGGTTTGGCTTATTTCCCTCGTGTCCTCCATGTTCACAGGTGTTGTCACAAATGACAGGATTTCCTTCTTTCTTATGGCTGAAAAATATTCCGTGTGTGTGTGTGTGTGTGTGTGTGTGTGTGTGTGAACACACAGGTGCCAGCCATGTTAGACACTTAGGCTGTTTCCAGACCTTGGATATTGTGATATTGGATATTGTTAGTAATGCTGCAATGAGCTGAGAGTGTAATTTCTCTTGAGTTGAGAGTATAATTTCTCTGACATATTTTGCTGAGATATATAATTTCATTTTCTTGGATCACGAAAGTTCTATTCTTATTTATTTTTTAATTTTTTTGCAGTATTGGGGATTGAGCGCAGGGGTGTTCTAACAGTGAGCTATATCCCCAGCCCTTTTTATTTTAAGACAGGTCCTCATTAAGTTGGCCTCAAACTTGTGATCCTCCTGCCTCAGCATCCTGAATAGATGGGATTACAGGCATTTACCACTTTACCAGCATTTTAAAATTTTTTGAGAAATCTCCACATTRTTTTCCATAATAGCTGTACCAACTTACATTCTCACCAATGGTCTGCATAAGTTCGATATTTTCCATACCATCACCAATACTTATCTCTTTTCTTTAAAAAAAAGAAATAGTGTGTGTGTGTGTGTGTGTGTGTGTGT